CCACAGCGGCAGGAGCTGCTGCTGCTGCTGCTGCTCCTTCTCCCTGGTTGCTGCTGCTGCTGCCGTTGCTGCTGCCGCTATCTGAGTCCTGCTGCTGCAGCAAACTACGGGCCCTTTCTAGAGCCTGTGGGCTGATCTGCACCTTGCGCCCAGATGCAAAGGAAAAACCCGCAGCAGCAGGAGCTGCTGCTGCTGCTGCTGCTCCTTCTCCCTGGTTGCTGCTGCTGCTGCCGCTGCTGCTGCCGCTATCTGAGTCCTGCTGCTGCAGCAAATTGCGGGCCCTCGCTAGAGCCTGCGGGCTGATTTGCACCGGTCGCCCAGATGCAAAGGAAAAGCCCACAGCGGCAGGAGCTGCCGCTGCTGCTGCTCCTTCTCCCTGGTTGCTGGTGCTGCTGCTGCTGCTGTTGTTGCTGCTGCTATTTGTGTCTTGCTGCTGCAGCGAATTGCGGGCCTTTGCTAGCGCCTGCGGGCTGACGTGTAGCTGCCTCCCAGATGCAAAGGAGAAATTCACATCAGCAACAGCTGCTGCTGCTGCTTCTTCTTCCTGGTTGCTGCTGCTGTTGCTGCTGCTCTCTGTGTCTTGCTGCTGCAGCAAACTGCGGGCCCTCGCTAGAGCCTGTGGGCGGATCTGCACCTGCCGCCCAGATGCAAAGGAAAAGCCCACGGCAGCAGGAGCTGCTTCTGCCGCTGCCGTTGCTGCTGCTGCTTCTCGCTGGTGGCTGCTGCTGCTGTTGCTGCTGCTGCTGCTATCTGAGTCCTGCTGCTGCAGCAAATTGTGGGCTCTTGTTAAAGCTTGTGAGCTGATTTGCACCTGTCTTCCAGATGCAAACGAAGAACCCATACCAGGATCCGCAGCTGCAGCTTTTGCTGCTGAAGCGATGCTGCTGCAGTGCGTGCCGTACGCAGTGGTGCTTCTGCTGCTGCTGCTGCTGCTGCTGCTGTCTTCACTAAGTTGTTGCGGGGGCCGGGAACTGGAAAGCGCCTGCAGGCTTGAATCCACATCTGCTCCTGAAGCCAAGGGGAACCCTTTGAAAGGCCGCGATGCTCCTGCAGCTGCTGCTGCTGTTGCTGCTGCTGTTGCTGCTGCTGTTGCTGCCGCTGCCGCTGCAGCTGCTGCCTCCGTTTCCTGCTGCACCTGCAAGAGGTTGTGGGTCTTCTGCAGCCCCCCATAACTGACCGCCCCTGAAGTGAAATTTCCATCTGCTGCTGCTTCAGCTCCTGCCACTACAGACCCGCTGCTGCTGCTGTTGCTGCTGCTGCCGCTGCTGCTGCTGCTGTATTCTTGCCGCACTCCAGCCCCAGCTACAGTATGAGCAAAAGCACTCTGAGAGACCAGCGGAGTAAAAGCACCGCCAGACTGCATTGCTGTAGATGCTGCTGCTGCTGCTGCTGCACCTGCTGCTCCTGCTGCGCCTGCTGCGCCTGCTGCTGCTGCTGCTGCTGCTGTACCTGATGCTGCTGATGCTGCAGTGTGCATTTGCCCCGGCATCAGCTGCAGCTGATGCACCGGCCGCTGCAGCAGCAGCTGCTGCTGCATGAAGGTCGACGGGTTTGCTGTTGCTGCTACTAAAGGCTGCAACAGCTCCGGCGCTGCTGCGTCGTCCAGCCACAGCAGCAGCTCTTCCTGCTGCAGCTGCTCTGCTGCTGCAGCCTCTGCGCAGCTGTCGTAAGCAGCAGCAGCAGCACACGGCTCAGCAGCAGCACAGTCAATGTCTATGTTTCCAAAGCTCCATTCTGGCGAGCCATCGCATGCTGCTGCTGCTGCTACTGCTGCACTTGCTGCTGTTGCTGCAGGCGCTTCTGCGACGTAATTTATTGTTGCTGCTGCAGCAGTTGCTGCTGGCGAGGAGAGTCGCCGACGCTTGGGCAGCTGCAGCGGCTGCTGCTGCTGCTGCGGCTCCCAGTGGAACTGGTGCCGCTGCTGCTGCTGCTGCTGCTGCTGCTGAAGCATCAAGTGCTGCTGCTGCAGCTGCTGGTGCCCCGTGTCCTCTGCGCCGTAAAGAATGTCGCATGCAGCAAGCAGCTCGTCCTGCTGAGAAGGAGAAGGGAGCAGTGGCTGCTGCTGCTGCCACTGCTGCTGCTGTTGCTGCTGTTGCTGCTGTTGCTGCTGCTGCTGTTGCTGCTGCTGCTGCTACTCGTCGCACTTCTGCTGCTGCTGCTGCTGTTGCTGCAGGTGCTGCTGCTGCTGCTGCTGGTGCTGCTGTTGGTAGAGATGCTGCTGCTTTTGCTGCTGCTGCTGCTGCTGCCGATTCGGCTGAGAAGCTGCGTGGACCAAGTGATTTAAGTGCTGTTGCTGCTTCAGCTGCTGCTGCTGCTGGTGAACCTTGAAGTGCTGGTGCTGCTGAGGATGCTGCGGCTGCTGTCGGTTTTGCTGCTGCTGCTGCTGCTCCTTCTGCTGCTCGTTCCGCTGCAGTACAGAGCCCTCCGGCAGCAGCTGGCGCTGCTGCTCTCTGCGGACGGATAAGCATGGGCTGGCAGCGTGCTGCTGCTGCTGTTGCTGCTGCTGCTGTTGTTGCTGCTGTTGTTGCTGCTGCTGCTGCCGCTGCTGCTGCTGCGGGGATATCCGAGTTCCTGAGCGGCTAAGGGAGATTTGGGCAGGAGCAGCCCGCTGCTGTTGCTGTTGCTGTTGCTGCTGCTGTCGCTGCTGCTGCTGCAGGGATTGCTGCGACATAGTTCTTTGGTGAGGCGGTGTGTATAATGCCTGCTGCGGTTGCTGCTGCTGCTGCTGCTGCCTCTGGGGCCCTCCAGGCCTTGGGGGTGTCCTGCACGGCTGTGGGCTTCTGTTGCTGCTGCTGCTACTGCACGCAGCAGCAGCAGCGGCAGCAGCAGCAGCAGCAACACCTGCAGTGTGCAGCTGCAGAGCGTTCTGTGGGCCGTCAAATCCGAGCTGCTGCGACTGCTGCTGTGGTTGCTGCTGCAGTGGCTGCTCCTGCGGCTGCTGTTGCTGCTGCTGCTGCTGCTGCTGCTGCAGGCGGTGTATTGACTGAGTCTTCACTGGGGTGATGGAGGCTGAAGAGGCGTCAGAGTCCCACGGCTGTGCCCAGCTGCTGCTGCCTTCTGTAGCAGCAGCAGCAGCAGCAACAGCAGCAGCTGCAACGCAGACGCCCCCCTTCCAGCAGCCAGCAAACGCGTCTCCCCATGTGCTGCCTTCTGCACATTCTGCTGCTGCTGCTGCTCCTGCTGCTGCTGCTTCTGCTTCGGATCCTGAAGATGGAGCAGCAGCACAGCCGCCGGCTTCTGCTGAGGAGTAATCAGCAGCAGTAGCAGCAGCAGCAGCAGCAGCAGCATGGCCGGTCTCAGGAGCCGTAGCCCGTTCGGCCACCGCTGCAGCCCCTCCTGGTGTGCTTGCTGCTGCTGCTGCTGTTGCTGCTGCTGCTGCTCTTCCTGGCTGCGTCTGCTGCAGCTCGAAAACCTTAATGAGGCCCTCTTCTGCTTCTATAAGGCCGTCGATGGCTTCAAAGAAGGAGTCATTTTCCACTGAGAGCCCAGCGGCAGCAGCAGCAGCAGCAGCTGCTGCTGCTGCTGCTGCACCTGCTGCCGTCAACTGCGTCTCTGCATCCGGATCTACAAAGTCCCAAGCCAGAATGTCATCGGCTAAACTGCTGCTGCTGCTGCTGCTGTTGCTGCTGCTGTTGCCGCTGCTGTTGCTGCTGCTGAGGCCGTGAGTGGCGCTGCAAGCTGTGCCTAGCGCAGCGGCACCCTTGCTGCTGCTGCTGCTGCATGGTGGGGGCAGCAAGGGCTGGGTTTCTGCTGCTGCTTCTTCGTCTGAGGAGGACTCGACTGCCCAGGCCAGGCGCAGAGCCCGCTCGCTCATCTGCTGCTGCTGCTGCTGCTGCTCCTAGCAGCAGTAGCAGCAGCGACAGCAGCGGGGGCTGCTGCAGCAGCCGCCAGCGCTGCAGCAGCAGCTGCAGCAGCAGCCAGCAGCAGCAGCCAGCAGCAGCAGCCACAGGCTGTCTTGGGGCCCCCAGTGCAGCAAGGCCGTGTGGGGGGCCCCCAGGGCTGGGGGGCCCCCAGCTCTTGGACCCGTGGGGGCCCCTGAGGATACTTGGGGGGCCCCTAGGGGCAGTCTGGGGGCCCCTGGAGGCAGTCTGGGGCCCCACAAGGAGAAATGCTGCAGCTGTTGAGCAGCAGCAGCAGCGCAGCAGCTCCAGGTGTACTTACACTGCAAACATGTGGCGAAAGAGCTGATAATTGAGATAAATAATTAATTCAAAACTTTCTTTTATTTGCTGCTGGGGGCCCCCAGTAGCCCAGAGGGTGGTGATGGGGGGCCCCCCGGGGGGTGCTGCCCCCCCGCGGTGGGCCCCCAGTGCTGCTGGGGGCCTCTGCAGCACAAATTAATGCGCTAATGACAAATAAAATAATATTTTTGCAAATTTGAGAAACAAATTTGAATTTTCGGACGCAAATTCGAGAAAAAAGAGGCGAAGCAGCAGCAGAAGCAGCACCAGCTGCTGCGCACCGCAGCCGCCTCGAGGTGTACAGACACCTCAGGCAGCAGCAGCAGCAGCGCTGCTGCTGCCTTCTGCTGCTGCTGAAGCATTTATTTAATTTGTTTTACTCAAATGAACTTTTTCTGCCCCGAAGAAGCGCAGCAGCTCGCCGCACCGGGCACAGAAGCGCAGCCAGCTGCTGCTGCCCGCAGCAGCAGCTGGCCGCAGCAGCAGCAGCAGCAGCGGACCAGTGGACCTGTCTAGCCGCTCACTGCTCATGGAGTTTGCTGGGCAGCTAGCGAGACGCCCAGCTAGCTTCTCAGACTAGCCAGCTAGCTGAGCGGCTGGCTACCCAGCCACGCAGCTAGCCAGCTAGCTAGCTAGCTAGCTAGCTAGCTAGCCACCCAGCTAGTTGTGTGGCCGCGTGGAGAGCTAGCTAGCAAGCCACCCAGCTAGCCAACTAATGCCCGCCCAGCTAGCTACTCAGTTACTTAACTGGCCAGCTAGCCAGCTAGCTAGCTGCCCACTTAGCCAGTTGCCTAGCTGGCCACCTAGCTAGCTAGCTAGCTAGTTGGCTGGCAGCTCAGCTAGCTAAACAGCTAGCTGGGCTGTTGGCCAGCTAGCCAAGCAGCTAGCGGGACTTCCCCAGCGAACTCGCCAAAAACTCTCAGCTAGCCAGCTAGCCAGCTGCAGCTAGCCAGCTAGCTAGCTGCAGCTAGCCAGCTAGCTAGCTGCAGCTAGCCAGCTAGCTAGCCAGCTAGCTAGCTGCAGCTGCAGCAGCTAGCTAGCTGCAGCTGCAGCAGCTAGCTAGGGCTGCAGCAGCTAGCTAGGGCTCCAGCAGCTAGCCGGGGAGAGGGAGCTGTGGACTACAGCAGAGGCGTTGCGGTGTATCGACAGCTCAAATACCGCGCCTAAAAGAAAGCCTCATTTACTCATTTGCTGCTGCTGCTGCTGCTGCTGCTGAGGTCACTTTCATTCAAATTGGCTAGACCCTGTCTCCCGGCTGCAGCAGCTGCTGCAGCAGAGGGACTGCTGCAGCAGCTGCTGCTGCAACAGCTTGCTGCTGCAGCGGCAGCTCCTAGCGCTGCATCTGCTGCTGCTGCTGCTGCTGCTGCAAGCTGCTGCAGCGGCGGCTGCTAGCGCTGCATCTGCTGCTGCCACTAGAGCTGCTGCTACTGATGCATTTGCTGCTGCTGCTGCTGCTGCAGCGGCAGCAAATCGTTAACCTCCAGGATATCACGAAAGAACTCATCCGGCAGCGCCTCCCCATCTGCGCCCATCAAATGCGTGCTGCGCACAATCTTGCTGCTGCTGCTGCTGCTGCTATTGTTGCTGCTGCTATTGCTGCTGCAGCTGTGTGGCAGCATCCGCCGCACGAGCTGCTGCATAAGAGACTTTGAGAAACACAAAAAATGGAATTGTTTAGAAGTCGTGCTGCTGCTGCTGCTGCAGCTCGCGCCGGCTGGCGCATCAGCAGCAGCAGCAGCGGCAGCAGCAGCAGCAGCTGCTGCTGCTGCTGCGTGCCGCTGCTTCTCTATGCTGCGTATGCACCTGAAGAAGCTCGCAGGGGGCCTTGCTGCGTCCGCAACAAAAACTGCCGGCTGCACCTCCCACACAATCTTGCTGCTGCTGCTGCTGCTGCTGCCCTTTTGCTGCTGCTGCTGCTGCTGGTTCTTGGCGATGCAGGTTTGCTCTGCGAGCAGCTGCAGCGCGAGCAAGAAGTGGTGGGGCTGCTGCAGCAGCAGCCTGCTGCCGCATGCAGACTGGATTTGCTGCTGCAGCACCGGCTGCAGCGGGGAAAGGAAAGCGCCGTGCTGCCTCTGGTGTCTGTACACTGGCTGCTTCTGCGGCAGCAGCAGCAGCTGCTGCATCTCCTGCTCCTGCTGCAGCAAAAAGGAAGTGTGCTGCAGCAAACAGCCCCGCGAAATGGACTGCGCGTTGCCTGCGATCTTCAGACACAACGCCTCGCTTGCTGCTCTGCTGCTGCTGTTGCTGCTGCTGCTGCTGCTACCGCTGCTGCTGCTGCTGCTGCTGCTGTTCTTGAGCAGCACAAAATCATCTTCCACCAGTCCAAATAAGTTGTTGAAAGGAGAAGCGGAGAGGCGATGCGCAAAGGCAGCAGCACGCAAAGATGTTCGTGAGGGCTCTGCTGCTGCTGCTGCTGTTGCTGCTGCTGCTGCTGGGGATTGCTCAGCTGCAGCAGCGGCAGCAGCCAGTGCTGCAGAAGCGGCTGCCCTACTAGCAGCAGCAGCACTCTCAGGGGAGGCCGCCGCAGCAGCGGGAGCAGTAGCAGCAGCTGCAGCAGCAGCAGCAGCAGCAGGGATTCCAGCGTAGAACTTGAAGGCGAGCTGCATGAGGCTTCTGGGAAAAGGAGAAGCAGCAGCAAAAGAAAGAGGCAGCAGCAAAGCAGAACATGCTGCTGTCTCTGCCCGAAGCAGCACAGTGCCTCCCCCGCTGAAGCGCCGGATCAACGGGTGCACTGCAGCAGCAGCAGGAACTGCTGCTGCTGCTGCTGCACCTGCTGCTGCTGCTCCTGCTGCTGTAGCTCCAGGAGAATCAGAGGCAGGAGCAGCAGACGCTGCCAGACGTGCTGCTGTTGTTGCTGCTGCTGCATCCCCGGGGGAAACAGATGTGGTCCCTGCTGCGACTTGCTCTTGTTGCTGCTGCTGCCGTTGCTGCTGTTGCTGCTGTTGCTGCTGCAGCTGCCGCTGCTGCTCTGTGTACTGCCGCAGGGAATCCAGCACAGCACTCGCTGCGTGCTGCTGAGGCTTTCCGCTGATGCCGAAGATGAAGCAGCTCCCAAACCTTGTCTTGCTGCTGCTGCTGCTTCTGCTGCTGCTGCTGTTCGTGGTGCTGCTGCCATTGCTGCTGCTGCTGCTGTTGCTGTGTCTGCTGCTGCTCTTTCCTGCACGACGAGAAGTGCGTGAAGGGTCAATCAGAAAGGGG